TGAGACTGAGTCTCACTTTGTTGCCCTTGGTAGAGTGCTATGATGTCACAGTTCACAGCAACCTCCAACTCTTAGGCTTAAGCAATTCTCTTGACTCAGCCTCCCAAGTAGCTGGGACTATAGGTGCCCACCACAATGCCCAGCTATTTTTTAGTTGCAGTTGTCATTGTTGTTTAGCTGGCCTGGGCCGGGTTTGAACCCGCCAGCCTTGGTGTATGTGGCCAGCGCCCTACTCACTGAGCTACCGGTGCTGCCACCATCCAGCAGCTTTTCTAGATTTTGCTCTGCTTCATTCAGCAGAGGTCAAAGAATCATCCCTGGGCTGGTGAATTAGGGAAGGACTCACCTGTGAAATGGCCAGCAAACATTTTATTTATTTCACTAGCAGGCTTTAATCTTTAAGAGAGCTCTGAGGTGGTGGGATGGGGTGGGGAAGAGAGAAAGCCAGGAGGCTGGGGCAACTAAATAAGCTGAGGGAACTGCGGGTTTGAGTTAACCTTGGTTTGAAAAATCCCCTTGTTGATGGCCACCCTCTGCCCAGCCTCGTCGTCCCCATCATCTTGGCTGGACCTGCGGCGGGCGTTCTGGTAGAGCACAGCGCACATGCCGGTGATCCAGGCGGCCACCGTGCCTGCAGCGAAGATGCAGAAGCCGATGAGCAGCAGGAAGATGTAGTCTTTCATGTTCAGGTGCGAGATGCACATGTACCGCAGGGGGTTCCCCACCCGCGTGATGGGCCACCCCTTCAGCTGTAGGGGATCCACGCATGTGGCATTTAGCTCATCTGCGAAGAAAAACACAGCAGGCAGGGTGTTGAAACAGCACTGCTCCCAGGCTGCTAAGGCCAAAGGAGGCCTGGAGGGACTGGCTGAACCCTCACTCCTCAAACCACCCCTCATCTGGGCCTCGTTAGGAATACGGAACCCCAGGCCCTGCCTCAGCCCTGCATGTTCCTAACTCCGCACACTCTGCTGTGCCCACATGGAGGGCCCATGTGCAGGGTCAGGATGAATACTTCTGGCATTAGATCAATGAACTCCAGCTCAGGGCTGTCGTGGGGCCTGAGATAACCATGACCAAAATCACGGTAGCAGCTAATATTTGCTAAGCTCTTGCTATGTGCCAAGTGATTTGCAAATGTTACCTCCTAACGATGTTGGTGCACATAATATTATTGTCAGATAAGGGATCTGAGACCCGGAAGGTCTCACAACTTGAATGTTCTAGATAACCTTCAGTAGGCAGGAGACGGGCAGACAGAAATCCAGGAATGAGCTGTCTGAGTTGTTTTGCAGAAGTGGGAAAGGCAGACGGAAGCTACTGTGGAGAGAAGCCTCCTCTAAACTTCAAGGCAGGAACCTTCTGACTAGTTCCTGAAAGCATCAGTGTCCTCGGTGACCCAGGAAGGCAGGGAAGTCAGGTTCAATTCGGGAACTTCTGATGAGAGCTGGAAGCAGCCGAAGTGAGCTGCCTGGGGAGGAGGCAGTGCGTTTGGGGAACTAACAGAGAGCCGTCCTCTGCATCTGGGCACCGTTACCTGCCGCTGACTTCTGCCTCAGTCACCTGTAGTGACGTCATTTCATTAATTCCAGGAGTCGCCTGCAGTGTGCAATGCTGTTTAGGACTCCCTCCAGGAGGAAGCTGGAGATACAGGAGGGGAAGCCAGTGCAGGGGCTGTATCATATCCACAGAGAAGAGAGGAGAAGAAACCTCTTTCTAGACTGCTCACAGGACAGTGACCCTCAGGGGGACCCGGCCTACTTAAGAGCTCTCAAGTAGAGGAAAAGGGGCTGGGGACACAGGAAGAAGGAGCACAATTAGGCCTCCAGTCAGCCTGATTCCACCACCTCTGAGTCTTTTCCCAGGAGGCCTAAGCATAGGGCCTTGGGAAGAGCTGGGGCAGCTCCTGAGCACTGTCCAGGAATCCTATCAGGGTGGGGTGGGGGGTGGGGTCAAGTCACTAGTCCAGACCGTGAGGCAAAGGAATACACAAAGAAAGATGTATTTGAGAAAGGAAAATGTGAGCTTTTGAGAGTCTGGAGTATGTCTGGGGGTGGGGTGGGTATCTCATTCTATTTTTAAAAAGATTGGGCTTTTAAGTTGGGTTTTGGTGGCAGAGATGAGACTAAACATTACACACACATTTCCCCATTTTGAGGCATTAGCCTTGAAAGGAGCAATTAGGCAGTGATTTTAATGCATTGTTAGGCTGCTGTTAAGAGAGAGAGGTGGGTGGCTCGGGTGCATTCTCCCCCCCTCCCCATTCCCTGCCACTGCCAATGTTTGGGCTCGCCTCTCAGCCTCTCTGTCACCAGCTTTGGTCCACTCCACACACTGCAGCCAGATTGCCTTCCCCACGTGCAGCTCTTCCTAGGCGGACTCTGGCTCAAAACTCTCCTCTGACCCCTCTGTGGCCCTCTGAATAATGTCCAGACCACCTGACTTGGCTTTCAAGAGCCCCCCAGCATCCGCCTCCTTCTCTCTTCCCCACCTCACTTCTCAGCACTGTCGACAGCCCACCTTTGCTCCAGTCAAATTACTTATCATTCTTTGATCACATCTCCCCCTTGTCCCCGTCTGTAGCAAGCTTTGTTACACTGCACTTTTTGAATCAATCATCTCCTCCCCCAGGCTTTGCATGATCAAGTTCTTCCCATCCTTCAAGATGCATCCTCTCCAAGGAGACCTTCCCCTGACCCCGTCTGCATAGCTTCTAGAGGATATGTAACCGTTCCCACTCCTGAAGTCATCTCTAGCGTGTCCTTGTATCACGCTTAACACGTCTATCACATTCCACCTTGCACGAGGGCTATTGAATGTGCATCTTTTCTTCCTTACTAGACGGGCTTTTAGCTCCTGAAGGCACATACTGTGCCTGGTCATTATTATTCTTTTTAGTAAGAGCAATTATTCATTGACTTAATTGAATAATTTGTAAATATTTAGGAATTTTTAAGTTATATATATATATATATTTTGGTGCAGGGGATTTTTTGTCGTTGTTGTTTGGGATTCATTGAGGGTACAAAGAATTAGGTTACGCTGATTGTATTTGTTAGGTAAAGTCCCTCTTATAATTGTGTCCTGCCTCCAAGAATAGTGCCATAAACTGTGACCATCCCACCCTCCCTGCCCTCCTCCCCTCTCCCTCAGGATATCAGCCTGGGGAAAGATTTTATGAAGAAGACTTCCATGGCAGTTGAAACAACAAAAATAAACAAATGGGACTTAAACTGAATAGCTTCTGTACAGCTAAGGCGACAGCAACCAAAGTAAATAGATAACCTTCAGAATGGAAAAAGATATTTGCATATTATGAATCAGACTTGATAACTAGGACCTACAGACAACTCTAGTAATATTTTTTTTTTTTTATTTGAGACAGATTCTCATTTTGTTGCCCTTGGTAGAGTGCCATGGCATCGTAGCTCACAGCAACCTCCAACTCTTGGGCTTAAGCAATTCTCTTGCTTCAGCCTCTCCAGTAGCTGGGACTACAGGTGCGTGCCACAATGCCTGGATATTTTTAGAGACAGGGACTCACTCTAGCTCAGGCTGGTCTTGAACCTATGAGCTCAGGCAATCTACCTGCCTTGGCCTCCCAGTTACTATTTGTTTTTCATTTGTCCTACTTGTTTCATATCTCTTTTCTTATCCTTTGTTGCCTTCTTTTTTGTCATTTTACTTCTTTTTCTTTTGCTTGTCAGTCATATATTAACTTTTCCTATTCTGGTATGATTACTAAAGATTTTATTTCCATCTATGGATCCTGAAGCACCTGATATGTGCTAGATACCTTAAAAAATTAAGTTGGAGCTTAACTTAAGCTCTACTCTTGATCACCTCACAGGGTAGTTTTCATTGTTCTTATGTTATGGAATGAATAAACTACATATCAGTTCTTCCCTATCTGGTTTTCTTGATCCCCTTACTTCTCACATAGGGGGCTACCAGGTGCAGTTGTGCATGCTGCGCACTGCGCAACTGTAGGACACTCCTTTCACATTATAGAGAGATGATTCGGCCCCATGCTATCTTTTTCCCTTCTCCAGTGGGACCAGGGCTTTTGCCCCAGTTAAGGCTCTTGGATACAGTTACAAATGTCATTAATGTTTAACTTCTTGCAAATAGTTCCTAAGGAAACATAAGCCATCAGTATGTTTATTTCAGGTATATGGCATGTTGTTCACAGGCAGAAAACCTGACTTCCAGAACCCGGTGCGTGAGAAACTAGAGTTTCTGGGACCCAGAACTATACTAGTTGGTGTGGGAGCCCAGGAGGCCTCCCTTTCAGAACATAGTTTTGAACCCCAGGTTAGAAGAAGAGTTGTTCCTTTTCTTGTCCTGCAGAAGGGACCACAGATCTGTGCAGGGGTCTGCTATAGGTTCCCAGGGTTTGGTGCCCCAGAGGAGCCTGGCCCTGCATAGGGTGCATGGAGCCCCATTGGGACTGACTGGGGGATGGAAAGGAGATGATGGGTTGACAGCAGCTTCCATCCCAATGCACTGCAATTACCTCATAGAGAGAGAACACCAGTTTCTATCAGCTTAGGCATTCTGTCAACTCCTACCCTGAACCCAGAGAAACACCTAATTCTCCCATTTCTCTTCCCAGGGCCCAGCTTGCCTGAACATCAATAGACATACAGTGCTTTGTCTTCTTTTTTATTTTTTCTCCAGCTAAATTATGTTTTTATCAAGAAAATAGATTTGCCAACAATTTGTCTGCCTCTACTCACTAGATCAGAAATACTATGCAAATCCAGATGTGGATTTTTGTTTGTTTTGTTCACTATTGTATCTGCAACACCCATAATGATATCTAACACATACTAGAGCTCAGGCTGTGTTTGCTGAATGAATTAAATGTTATTATCTGTTGTTACCCCTTGGGCTCACGGTCATGGCCATAACACTCGGCTGGAGGAAAGGGAACCTGGGTGGTAGGGTATGGTGTCATGGTGGGTTGGTCAGCCAAGCCCTGACTCCCTCGGATTACTCTGTGCTAGGTGAGCACCAATCCCTGCCTACCATGTGGGAGTCTGGAGACGGTTTGGTGCTAAGGAGTGTGAAGCCCCTAAGAAGGCAAGAATGGATGGTTCTGAGGACCAAATGGAGCAAACCTTGAACTGGGAAGGACACCCAGTGAGCTCCTCCGTGCTGAGACTGCAGAGAGGGCAGTACGCGTAGGGACGTGGAAGTGCCGCAAGCATGACACCAAAAACTTCCCCAGTACAGTCTGGGAACGACTTGAGAGCAGAAGCCTTCGTGTTCGCCTTTGAATCCCTACTGTCTGGCACACAGTAGATGCTCAGTATGTCTGTTGAATGCATACAGGATAGAATGGCTGGGTTATCGGTCTGATCTCCTATAGCACGTCTTAAACTCTTATGCCCTTGGCCTGCTGCTTAGGACACGTTCCCCAGTTGGAATATGACCCTTCCAATCACTGTTATATTTTGCTGTATTATTGATAGCTTAGATCCT